GCAGAACTACAAAGACCAAGAGTGTCCATCATATTAACAAATATAATTGCAGTAAAGTCATCCAATAAGGGAAAAAGAACTTTAGAATGGATCACAAAGCCAAACCCAGCTTTATTGACATATGAGGCTTATGCAAAAAAGTGATGCAGAAAGGTTGAAAAAAAAGAGCTGGAACAAAGGTGTATGTAGTCAGATGCAAACAGAAAGAAATCAGGGATCATGACCTCAGTATCAGAAAAGGCTGAACTCCAAGCAGAAAGGATGAAGTGAGACAAAGGCACATTCTGCCCTGACCGGTTGGTTCAGTGGTTAGAGCGTCGGCCTGTGGACCAGAGTCATGGGTTTGATTCTGGTCAAGAGCATGTACCTCAGTAGCAGTTCATCCCTGGCCCTGGTGGGAGTCGTGTGGGAGGCAACCAGTCGATATGCCCCTCGAACGTGATGTTTCTCTCTCTTCCTCTTCTCCCTCCTACTCTGAAGATAAATAGAAAAATATCCTCAGGTGAGGATTAAAAAGGTCAATAAAGGCACATCCTGCTGCTGCCTGCTGCAGTTCACAGTGAAGTGTGGAAGCTCTGACTACGCACCAGGTGAAGCGGCTCCAGCATCCCCAAGGCGAGGGCACAAGTGCTGTCAGGTGACAGAGAATTATAGTACCGACCGGAGACTGCCTCACCACTCAGCTCCTGATAGAGTGAAATGATAAGGCTAGAGGTGCCTAATTAAAACCATGAACAGCCTTGGCTGGTTTGGCTCAGCGGTTGAGCATCGGCCTGTGGACCAGAGAGTCACAGGTTCGGTTCCCGCTAGGGGCATGTATCACCCCCCAAAAAATAAATAAATAAAACAATGAATAAGGTAGAACCAGTTGATACCTATTGAGCTCCAAGCCCTGAAGACAGACAATACACCTTCCATTTAAGTGTCTGTAGGACATTCATGAATCGAGCATTCGCAGAAGCCTCGATAAATTCCCTGAAGTAGAAATAACATAGCAAGGGTGATGGTGAAAGTACACAATGGCTGGCACAATAAGGGCACTTTCCAGCCTGGGTGGACCCAGTTCCACGTGGGCGGTGGTCAACCACACTGGTGCACACCAGTGAACTTGATCCCTGAGTGCAGACAGTGTTCTCTGAGCACAGAGCAATAGCCTGGGAATCCATGACAAACCCACAAGACAAAGGGCCACCACCACAACAAAGCTGTTAACTCAGGTCACAGAAGTTCAAACCAAATTGAAGACCGTCTGGAAGACAGCCAGGAAGAACAGCCCTTAGGGATCTGTGGGATAGGAAAGAAGGGCTAGGAGGAAAAGCTTCGCCGTATATAAATACACTCATGTGTTCTTTCAACTCTCTGTAGAAAGAGGTTTGTAAGGATTGGCTCGTGCAGTAATGCAAGCTGAGAAGTCCCAAGATCTGCCGACGGTGTCAATTCCGCCCTGATTCTGAGTCAAGTCAGGAAGAGACCGATGTCCCAGCTTCAGGCTGAGAGCAGATTCTCTCGCTCAGCCTTTTTTTTTTTTTAGCCCTTAATAACTGCTTTATTTTTTTTCAAAAAAATTTTTTCCCTTTATTGATTTTATAGAGAGAGGAAGGGAGAGGAAGAGAGAGATAGAAACATCAATGAAAGAGAACATCGATTGGCCGCCTCCTGCATGCCCTCCCCTGGGGATTGAGCTCAAAACCTGGGCATGTGCCCTGACGGGGAACTGAACCGGCCACCTCTTGATGCATGGGTTGATGCTCAGCCACTGTTGCTCAGCCTTTTTGTTCTGTTGAGCCTTCCATGGATTGGATGCGACCTACCCGCTGGGAAGGGTGGTCTGTTTTACTCAGTCAACCCATTCAAGTGTTAACCTCCTCAGAAACAACACTGCAGACACACCTGAATAGTGTTTCACCAAAAATCTGGGTACCCTGCGACTTATCAAGGATACACATAAGGAACTGTGTAATTTCTGAGCAAATGGGAAAAAATGATTTTAGTTGGAAGACTCAACATTTAAAAGATGTCAATTCACCTTAAATTATAAACTTTTTTCCCTTTATTGATTTTAGAGAGAGAGGAAGGGAGAGGGAGAGAGAGACAGAAACATTGATGAGAGAGAACACCGATTGGCTGCCTCCTGCATGCCCCGCACTGGGGATCAGGCCCACAACTTGGGCATGTGTCTTGACCAGGAATTGAACTGGTGATCCTTTGGTGCATGGGTCGACACTCAACCACTGAGTCACACCGGCTGGACTCTTAAAATTTATTATAAAATTAGCATAATCCCAGTAAAAAGACCAACAGGATTTTTGGGAATTTGATAAGCTGATTCTAAATTTCATATGGTAAAATGCACAAGTAAGACTAGCCGGAATATTCTAAAAAAGAAGCCCTACCATGTCCTAACATATAGGAATCAGCTCCGAGCTTCCCTGCCCCCACTGCCCTTCATCCTCACTGCCTTCTCTCAGATCCTCCATCACACAGGGTACACTCCTGCCACAGGACCCTTGCTTGGACTTTTTGCTATTGGAGTGATGAGTGCTGCTCCTGCTTCAGTGCCCTTTGCCTTTTTAATTCCCATCTAGTCATCGCTTTTTTTTTTATCCTCACACGAGGACATTTTTGCATTTTTCTTTAGCTAGAGAGAGACTAAGAGAGAGAGAGGAACATCGACGTGAGAGAGACACATTGAGTGGTTGCCACCCACACAACCCCAACTGGGGCAGGGGACAAACAACCAAGTTACGTGCCCTTAGCAGGAGCCGAACCCAGAACTCTCTGGTCTGAAGGCCTACGCTCTAACTGCTGAGCCAAACCGGCCAGGACTAGTCATCACTTTTTTAGGGAAATCATTCCTTCCCACTTCCCTAATCTTTTTTTTTTTTCCCTCACCCGAGGTCATCTTTCCATTTTTTGCACAGACAGAGTGGGAGGGAGAGAGAGGGAAACATCGATGTGAAAGGCACACATCGAGTGGCTGCCACCCGCACGACCAACCAGGGCCGGGGACAAACTGCAACCGAGGTACATGCCCTTAGCGGGAACCGAACCCGGGTCTCTCCAGACTGCAGGTGGACGCTCCAACCGCTGAGCCAAACCGGCCAGGGCCCCACTTCCCTAATCTTAACTCACCATCCTCTGTTATTAGTTTCATTCTTTCCTTCTTTGCATTCATTTCAGTTTGTAGTTATTTAGTCATTAATGCGGTTGTTTCACGAATGATGTTTTTCTTATTAGACTGTAAGCTCAGGGCTTGCCCCAGAGTAGGTTTCAATAAATATTTATTGATAAATAATCTCCAGTCTGCTGAACATTGAGCTGGCAACAGCCTTCTAAACTGAGTAATCGAGTCTTCGTAATGTAGGCCCTCTCCAGTATCGGAGGTAATGCCATCTCGATGTGTGGTTGCTTTCACTAACAGACATTTGAAGACGTTAATGCTTCTTGCAGTGTCCTGATTTCTATGGTAGCCTCCTAACATGAAGGACCACACCTGAACTGTCCCCCGTGGCCCCAGTATTATAGCCAACGGACTTACTATATTTTCCTAAGGAGGAGATGTAAAATGATGGTATGACTGCGTCATTGCCTGAAAAATAATGTTAGTCATGGGAAGAAATAATCATAGCCATTGAAGAACTTATTTTCTTAATGAATTTTATAAATCGTGTGCCAGACATATTGTAGTTCCCGCTTCTCCTAAGTGACCTAGGTCCCCAGGCGTGGCAGAGTTCAGAAAGTATTGCTCTGGTGGTTAGGGTGGAGAAGTTCCCTCTGGATGCGGAGCGAGGCTGAACAGGATGTGGTTCTCTTACGAGAGGCCGTGAAATGTTTTATGCTTTCTCCCCGGGAGTGCATACCTACCATCTTCTCGGATGTGTTGTGATTGGCACACACCGGCCATCGCTAAGCGTACTGAAGGTTTTGTTTGGCATTTTGTGGACCGAGACACACTCGTCTTGACGACGCGTGTTGGAAAGCCAAGGGTTTCAGAATGACTTTTGCATTCATGAGTGTTTCCAAACGGTAGTCTCTGGCGGTGGAGCGGCTGGGCAGTCATAAACAGGGTTGCTGGCGTGTCCCCCGAGGACGCTGAGATCATTCCAGGAAACCCTCCTTTAGGTGACCTCGTTCCTATTCCTTCAAGAAATGAGTGGCTTTCTCGTTTGTCTGTCTGGAAGACCGCAGGCCCCGGAAACGCCACGAGGTGGGTTTGGGTGCCTGTTCAAGCGGCAGGAAGCAGGCGTTCGGGTGTGAGGGAGCCGGAGCCCGGGCTGCCGGCTGCGGCCGCAGGCCAGCCCGTCAGATCTGCCCTGCAGATGTGTTTATTTGGGTCACACGGTGTTTCTTTTTTAAACATTAAAATTAGTTGCCAAGCTGCAAAAATGGGGGGGGGGGATTTCTACTTCAGAAAGACTGGATATATGACTTGTCACAAAAAATTGGGATCGTTTGGCCATGCTGGGGTCCACCTTCCTGCACTGGCAGCCAGCAGCTGAGGGGGGCTCCCTTCTCACGGGGACAGGGACTCCCCAGGAGCACCATGCTCTCCCTGGACCCAGGCATTCACTGAAGTCACCTGCGTGACTGTGAGGTGGAGAATAACGGATAGTGAACACGCAGGAAAACTGCTCCGAGTTCCGTGCCGAGTCCCGTGTGCCTCTTCTGACTCTTCTTTGTTGACTGTAGGTTCTGCTTACAGGTCACGTAGCATTTGAGGCTGGGGGAAGGGGGTCACTAAACAGACACAGGCCGATCCTTACATGCCAGCCTGGGGACACATCACTCATTCCCGGGCTGCATCCCGCCTCCCTTCGAATTTTGAGAGTGAGAATGAAATGATCCGAGCAAAAACACTTCTCTGGGCTGCATTTCGACACATTGGGACTACAAAGAACGCATCTGTGTTTAATCTAGCTCTGCACAGCTGCACAGAAAAGATTGTTTTCGCTCCTCTTTATATTTTGTCTTTTGGGGAACCCTATCAGGAAATTTACGACCATCTTTTGGAAGCCCCGGCCACTCGGGAGCAGTTAAACCACTATCGGAATGTGGCTGAAGACGCCCGGAGTGACCTTGCAGCAGCTGTGGTCAAATTCGAATGTGCTCAGTCGGAGGTAAGGCCGCGCATCTTCATAGCTCAGAAATGGGGCTTCTCAGCTCTGTGCAGAGTGAAGCCCAGCGCAGAGGCGATGACAAGCAGAACAGCGGGACACAGCGTTAACCCTTTCGGCGAAGTTTACACTTACTCCCTTCCTGGGCGCCCACCTCCCACCGGAGAGAATTTCTGAAAGGTTGCCCGTCTGTCATGCTGCCCAGCAAGGTGGCCTGGGCTGGATCTCACAGGAGCTCCAGCCCGGAGAGACCTGGGCGCGCTGGAGCACTGTGGGTCGACGGCCTGGGCTTGGGAGGGCTTTTAGCATCTCTTGGAACAGCTTCCTTTAATGTGAATTGCTTGCGGGCTGGAGCTCATAGGATGGGATTCTCCATCCTTTTCTGTGATGGTTCTGTGATGCAGGGGGGCATTCTAGGAAGCTAACTGGAATCTATCTCCCCTCTGGACTGGATCAGGTCTGATGTGGAATTTCTGAAGAGTCTTTTTAGACCCATTCTGTTCGCAGCCTGTGGCCTTGAAGAGTCTAGGCTTGTCTGGGAGGTAACTATCAGTTCCCTTGGGCTGCCGGGACCTCACTGAAGGATGAGTTAATAATGTGTGTGGGAGGGAGGCGGGAGGGAGGGAGAGGGGGAGAGAGAGAGAGAAGGAATAAATGTATGATGCATGCTCTAAATTCCAGGGAAGTACATGCATTCATAAAGATTTCTTTTAGGGTGAACCGATAACATAACTTAATAGGGCTCAAACATTGTTCAGCATTTTGATGCCACAGAATTCATAAAAGTTAAAATGTGTCCTTAGTATAAATCCTGCAAGGGAGACAGTTGTGGCCATGAAATGACAAATAGTGTAGCTTGTAGGTTCCTTGTTTCATTTTAGCAGCGATAGCAGGAATATGGATTTAGAAAATGGATTACTTGCAAAATATTTTATTGCCTTTTGCAAAACACACCACAAATGTCTCTTGAGTGAGATTATATTACCACAAGACATTGCTCAATTGGTTTTGAGAAAAAAAAAAACACCCCAAAAATGAAAGCAGAACATGAAGTCCGTTATTTAGGCATAATTTCCCATCTGGTAATAGAGTTATAAATATGAAAAAAAGAAAGGAAAGGTGGATTAAGTCATGAATAAAAAAGTAAAATTTTTCATTAAAGTTTTGGGTTTCTTAAAAGTACTTCAAACTTATGCCCTTGAAATCCTTTTTGTCTTTTTTATTTCTTTTCCATATTAGCTTCGAGACCTCCGATCCAAAATGCTTTCTAAAGAAGCTTCCTGTCAAGAACTGAAAGCCAAAATGGAAAACTACCAGGAGAACAATGCTAGAAAGTCATCTCTGCTCACCTTTCTGAGAGACCGAGTGCAGGAGCTGGAAGAAGAATTGGCAACCCTTTCCACTTCTAAAATTAGGACAGAAATCACAGCTCACACCACAATCAAGGAGAACCAGGAGCTAAAGAAGAAAGTTGTAGAACTAGATGAGAAATTACAGTAAGGGCATTTCAGTATATTTCTTCGTTGAGTTCGTGTTAAAATACTGGGTTCTGATAGCAGGATGTGCCTTTGGATGATGTTCCGACAACTTGTGTTATTTAGCCTTGAAACTCGATTTGGGAAAAAAAAATTTATTGATCTCAGCTATGTTTGGGGTCTTGAAATTATTTTTCCAAGCTCATTTCTAAATGTCACCATGAGTCTTAGAAAACATAGCATTGTCCTAAGCATGTTTATGTCCTATTGATTAGGGCTGCAAATGCTTATTTATACAATTTGGAAGATTTCCTCTGAGTCGAGGTTTAACCAGAGGTGGAGGTGGTGGGGCCGAGCACGGCGGGAGGCATGGATTCAGAACCCACATATAAAGATACCCTGGTAGCCCAGACCGCCCCAAACACACCTTGTTTGGTTTTATTGTCAGTTTACGTAGAAAGCTCATGGAATCCAGGTTTTCCACCTTCGCCTCTGGCAAAAGGTGATTATTGAGACAAGATTGAGAACTAATTGTTCCAAAAATGTACTCTAAAAATTCTGTGGGTTATAACTGTATTAATAAAATACTTGGCATTTATTTGATTTACTCCATCTTGAAAAAAAAAAATCCAACACCTCCAGTTTGGGTTCTGTTTCTCCTTCTCCTTACAGAAAAACTCCTTCAAATATCTGTACATACTCACCGTTCCAAATTCTCTCCCTCTCCTTCTCTCTTGGATCTACCCCACTGAATCCACTCACTAAGCTGACCAATGACCCCACAATGCAAATGAAACAGTTCAGTCTTTATCTTACCTGACCCATCAGTACATAAGCCACAGCTGGTTTCTCCCTGAAACTCGGTCTTCTTTTGGCTTCCAGGACGTACAAAGCCTGTTCTCTGCTTTACCTTTCTCGGTGCTCTGTTGTTTTTTCCTTCTCAACTCCTTGACTTCCAAATATTGGAGTGCCCTAGGGCTCAGCCCAGGAATCTCTTCTCATTTCTATGTCCACTCTCTTGGTAATCTCACTTTTCTCATGACTTTAGAATGATCTAAATGTTGTCTGGCCAGTGTGGCTCAGTGGTTGAGCATGGACCCCTGCACCAAGAGGTTGCTGGTTGGATTCCGGTCAGGGCACATGCCCAGGTTGTGGGCCTGATCCCCAGTCGTGGGCGTGCAGGAGGTGGTCAGTCGATGTTCTCTCTCATCGATGTTTCTATCTCTCTCTCTCTCCCTCTCACTTCCTCTCTCTCTCAAATCAATAAAGGGGAGAAAAAAAAAAAGAATGCTCTAAATGCTAGTGAGTCCCACATTGCTATGTGTAGCCTGGATCCCTTCCAGGGTTAAAGACACACATATCTTACTATTCACAGCGCATCTCCAAGTGGCTGTCCAACAGGCATCTCCGACTTCACATGTCCGACACTGAGTTCCTGGTGTTGCCACACAATTCTCCTTCACGTTTTCTCATCTCATTTAATGATCATTTCATTCCACTAGTTGATCAAGTAAAAAAAAAAAATCCTGGATCATCCTTGGGTCTCTTTTTTTCCCACAGTCTATGTCTGATCCTTCAGTAAATCCCACAGTCTATCTCTACCTTTAAAATAGATCTAACTTTGGCAACGTCCCATTGACACCCTCATTGCTACTAACCTGGTCCAAGCAACTATGGTCTGTCACCAGGATTGTTCCAGTAGCCTCCCAAGTGGTTTTCCTGCCTCTGCCTGTGCCCTCTGCAGCCAGAGTGGTCCTGCTAAAACACAAATTAGTTCCTATCAGTTGTCTGCCCAGACCCCTCCAATGCTGTCTCTTGTCGCTCACGGCAGAGACAGTGTTTTCTATGAGCTGACAGGCCCGTCCTGCCCTCAGTTTGCTTCCATTCTCTCCCTTATCCTTTCCATTCCACCTCTGGCTTCTTCGCTGACCTTCGAACACAGCAGTTGGGATCCTACCTCAGGACTTTTGCACTTGCTAATCCCTTTACCTAGAAACTTCTTTACCCTCCTTTAGGTCTTCACTCAAAAGTCACCTTCTTGGGAAGCATTTGAGATCTTACTTCCTGGCACTGTCATCAATTTTGGCTCAAATAAACTCTTATAAAAATTCAAAAACAAAAGTCACCTTCTCGGTGAGGGCTTCTGTGAGTGACCTTGTCTAGAATGTTACCCCACTCCCCCCAAATATATCTTACCCTTTTCCTACTTAACTTTTCCCCTTCAGCCCTTTTCTAACAGACTACACATTCAATGCACATTCGTATTTTGGTTATTGCTCATCTTCCCAACTGGAATGTAGGCGCCCCGAGGGCAAAGATCTTTGTTTTGTTTACTGCTCTATCTTTAGCACCTTGAATAGATCCTGATGCATAGTAAGTGCCCAATAAATATTTCTTAAATAAACGAGTCATAAAAATGATATCTACTCATTGTAAAAGAGTTGTTTAAAATATAGAAAAGTGTCAAAAAGAAATGAAAATTACTCAAAACCTTATGATTCCAGAAAAGCTTCATCACAGCCAACATTTGTTAACATTTGGTTGAACAGATTTTCAGAGAGTTGTACATAAATGATATCATGTAATGAACGATTTTTACTGAATTATATTGTCGATATTTTAGAAAGTCTTTCATCATATCATTTTCAATGGCCCATGGTATTCCATTGCCTGAAATATCATCCTTCACGTAACCAGTTTTCCTTGCTATTTCCTGTAGGTACTTAGGTTAGTTCCACTCAAAAAATTATTCAAAACCAAGATGCAATGAATGTCCATGTGTATTTGTATTTGCACGTTTTAGTGATGATGTCTGTACTTAGGAAGGGCTCCCAGGGCTTTGCCGGCTCAAAGCAAAATGCAAATAGAAGTGGAAATAATTTAGAAACCCCTGGAATCGAGAACTGAGACTGAAATCTCGGGGTTAACGTATGGACTCTTCTACATAAATCAATCAGAGCTATAGCATTAATTGTGCCTTTCACGAGTCAGAGAGACTGAATAAACATTACCTTTCCTAGGCTGAAAATAAGAACCTAGAGATATATTGATGTTGGTCTTTTATTGTTATACATTTTTCTAAATAGAAATATGATATGCTTTTGAGTCAATGCAATTACATGCTTTGTTAATCTTTGAATGGTGAGGAAGGATATGCAGCAAACACATCATGCAGAGGGAAAGCAATAATCATGTTTGTTATCTGGCATACTGAAAAAAAAAAAAAAGAGATAACAAATTACTGAAATGATTCCTAATTTGCCTTTAAAATATGTCTGTTTTTTGAGGACCTCTTAGTCTGTAACAGTGAAAGCATGAGAAAAGACTGCTATCTCAGCAAACGCACCTGAGATTTGAAATCAAGTATTTGTAGCAGAGCACACATTGACCGATATTCCCGGACCCGCCCCTTCCAATACGCTTTAAAAACTCTGGGTGTGTGAGAACTGATAGTGATCTTGGCTGAGATGAAGCGCTTCTCTCTTCCACCGGTGGAGCACCCCTGCTTCTGATGCATTTTTCGTTCTGGTAATGCGTGGCCATGAACTAGGAAATGCCCTAGCAGTATAGGTCACTGTATGGTGTCTGAAATGAAAACAAGCGTGTGCCCTAGAACCAGTACAGCAGAACTCTCCTGCTTCCCACCAGGCCCCACAGAGACCATGTGTATGGATCTGTGTGTGACTAGAGTCCTGTCTGCCACTGTGCAGATCCTAGAAGGTCCGCGGCCAGAGAATCTGCCGCCCTCGTGGTTACTAGATCTAAGGTGCCATGAAGATTTTCCTGCATTTCTGCCAAGTGCAGAGGCCCCAGAAATGCCTCTACTGTTCTTCCTTTACAGTGCTCTGTGACTGGGAAACTGGGTTGTGATGAAAGTGATGATTTCCCATAGAGAGCTTATGTTCTGGACTTGGTTCGATGACTGTTATGATGCTAAAACTTGTCCTATTTGTTATCTGCCTGATAGAAAGTGTTTAAAGGAAAATGAGGAGAATAAGAATCAAGTGTCAAAGACCTACAGGGAACATGAGGAGTTTCTAGCTCAACTTCGTGACTGCTTAGATCCAGAAAGGAAGAACGAAAAGATGTCAGATGAAGATGTCATTATAAAGGTGTCTGTATGCATATTACAAAGACTGTATATTTTGGGGGTTATTTTGACAGGTGCCATGAAAAGAAGTGCTGTGGCTGAGTCTGGGGGTGGCGAGAGAACGAGACGTGGCCCAAAGGTGGCACTAACTGAGTGTGTGACCTGAGACAGACCATGTCACCTCTCTGAGCCCCAATTCCAAGGTCCTTTCTAGTGTTATTGGGGATTAATTATTCTCTAGAAAGGATTAATGGTTTTTGTTTAAAATATATATAGGTTGTCAAATGCAATAAGTTATTCATTCTAATGGTGTGTTTTAGGAATATTTTTGTCTGTTTGTTTTGAGTTAAGACAGAAACCTACAACAAAAGCAAAAACAGTTGTATGTCATTTTTGGGATACTTGTTGAGTATAAGGTTAAGATTAGTTCTAAAGTACTTTTTACTATTACATTAAAGCCTCAGAATAACAATCCTGCTTTAATGGTAGGTTGCAATCAAGATGGAGATGAATTATATCAATGGAATAATTTACTTGGCCATAGTGATTTATTAGGGCACCTGGTGGTATTTGACCTCTCATTGTATCTTTGCTCTTTTTGTGTCTAAAACTTCACATTCTTGCTTCCTGACAGATTTCCATGCAGCATTCTTTTAAAAATATATATATTTTAATTGATTTTTTTTAGGTAGAGAGGAAGGGAGAGGGGGAGAGAGATAGAAACATCGATAAGCAAGAACATCGATTGGCTGCCTCCTGCACGCCCCATGTATGGATTGAGCCCACAACCTGGGCACGTGCCCTGACCAGGAATCAAACCAGCAGCATCTCAGTGCATGGGATGATGCTCAATACACTGAGCCACACTGGCCGGGCCATGCGGCCATTCTTTTTCTTTAAAAAAAAAAAAATTTTTTTTTTTATATCATCAGATAGAGTGGGAGGGAGGGAGGGAGAGAGAGAGAGAGAGACAGTGAGAAATGAAGTGATAGAGCCACATCAACCAGTTGCCTCCTGCATGACTTGACCAGGACCTGGAACGAACTGCAACCAAGGTACATGTCCTTGACTAGGAATCAAACCCAAGACTCACTGGTCTTCGGGCCAACACTCTAAGCGCTGAGCCAAACCAGCCAGGGCCATGCAGCCATTCTTAAAGGCCACCTCAGTTAATTAGCCTGCATCCCAGGCCTCACTGAGAGCTGGAAGTGTCCCACTCCCAGAGGGGTTGCTCAGGCCTAGAGTCAGCCTGTACCCTAGAGGGCGCCGAATGCATGGCCCGCCTCCTCCCTGTTGCTAAACTGTGACCTGGAACCTGGCTTAAAAGTCCCCCTGGAGGCGTAGTTGGGGGACAATCCTTAAAGCCCCGTGGTGGGAAAAAGGAAGGGGAGTCAAGACGCTCCCTTCACACTGCCCTTTCCCACATCAGAGACAACCTCCGGGTGCTGATGTTATGTCGACACCTTATGCATCATGCCTTTCTATTTTCTGTGTTCCTAATGCTTTGACGTCTGGGGTCTTGCTGACCTAGGAGAGACTGCCACCCGCAGGGCTGGTCGGTTCCCAGTACACGACTCGCCTGGGAGCGCAGCTATCCTATGCAAACGAACTCCTCCAGGGCCCACACCCCAACCTCTTCCAGCTCGGGGCCACTCTGCGCTGCCTGAATCACACCCCAGTGCCAGGCACCGGACAGCTAGGGACAGCCCCGCACGCCAGAGCTGAAATGATGCACACCAGCCCATCCTAAGCCTGCATCTGCCTCATGGTCTTCTGCTCGCCCCGTCTGTCTCCTGACTGCCCCTGGTGCGTCCCTGGTGGCCCTCCATGGCACGGCACGCCCTCCTCTTGAGAACTGATCTGTTGGTCTTACCCTTCCTGAATAATAATATAACCTGCGGTTTAAAACAGATACTAGGACCCTAGAGCTTTAGCGTCCCAATCACCTGAGCAGGTGTCTGTCTTAAAAATATGTATATCACCGCGCAGGAGCAAGCAGGCTGCTGTCCTCATCAATGCTCATTAGGAGCTTCCCGGGAAACCGGGCAAAAGCACCTTCGGCTTCAAAGCCGTTTGCTCGCTTTTCAAGCCTTCACCCCCACGGGTGCACACACAGACCCCGAACCGCGCCTGAGAACTCGGGATACTCCCCCGCTTGCCAATGATCTGAGTGACGGACTGCACGACGCCGGACACTTCTGGGTGCTGGGGTACAGCACTGACTGTGACAAGACTAAGGCGGGGCCCTCCCAGCGCTTCCATGGTGGTGGGGTAAAGATGGGAAATCAATGTCCAGTATTACCCCCCACAGAAAATGGTGCAGTGAAGGGCAGCGGCGCAGGGAGAGGCGCGGGATGCTCGTGTAGGTACACGGGCCCAGGAGTGTCCCTCTGAGGTGGGGACATTTGAAGGATGTTGGACCAGTGAACGTGTGAATGTGAGGAAAAGTGATTAAGAGAGCGGGCAGCCCTGAATCGGGAGTAGGGCAGCGCGTTGGCAAATTGCTGAGGCTGAAATCTATGCCTGTTCCCCAGAGTCCTAACTCAAACCCTGCCCCTGCCCCGTGGAGTCTCGGTCTTCCTGCAGGCGCCCGCCGTGGGCTCTTACAGAGGGGCTGGTTCCCTGGGGCCTAGGAGCCTGTCTGCGTTGATCTCCCCTCTTTGTAAATCTTACAGATCCTCACGCTCCCTGTCGGCTCAAACACACCACACAGAGAATGAAAGGCCCTGCTGACCTCGATGATAACCACTGTTTGAGCAGGGCTGATATCAATTAGAAGGATTATTTTTAAAAGTCCTGCGGTCCTCTCTGTATTTCTGCCCCGCGCCAGGCAGCGCCTTGCCCGCAGTTGGAGCCCCCTTTCCATCCCGCCCAGGAGCCGTGGGCTGCTGTGACTTCTGTGACCATCACCGTCCCTTGATTATTTAGACGTCAGGGTGCTTGTCCTGGCGGGAATGGTCATCATTGTTACCTTGTAGCTACCTTTTGATTCATTTTAATTTGGCCACTGGGTCTGCCCACGACCACTGGGCTGAGCGCAGCCTTTGACCGCGTGATCTGTCGAATGGCTGGCGGGGTCGAGCGTCCACATGGTGATGCGGTCGTTGGCGGATGGGGATCAGAGTTGCCTAGAGAAAGGGGTGTGAAAAATGTTCATTTTTATGGGACAGTTGTCATTGCTTTCTCTTCAGCTCAGGGAGCTGTGCAAGGAAAATGCATCCGTGAAAGGACACATTGCTGCTCTTGAAGAGACCGTAAGTGTCCATGAGATGGAGGCAAAAGCCAGCCGGGAAACGATCATGAGGCTGGTTTCGGAAGTGCACCGAGAGCAGCAGAAAGCCGCCTCCTGCGCCGAGCAGAAAGGCAGGCTGCAGCAGGTAGGCGCTGGAGTGTGTGCGCGCATCTGTGGTCATGTTTATGAAGCAGAAATTGGAGACGAGACGCAGGTGAGCACATCTGCTTTGCAGACCGCAGGCTGCGCTTAGCAGGAGGGCTGGGGCAGCGTGGGGCTCAGTGACCTGGAGAGGCCACTGGTACGGAGCTCGGGAACTAGAACAAAAAGAAATCTGAAGCCCTGAAAATCACAGCCTCTGTGGAGAATATGTCTTACTCTATAGGGATTTCAAAAGTTTAAAAACTTATTTTTTTGAACAAGATACAAAATTCTAATAGATACACGATAGTATATGGTGGAAAGTCTTCCCCTTATCCACTTCCTCTGGCCATCCTGTTGTTCTGAGGCAGCCTCTGCTAACAGTTTCTTGCATACCTTTCTAGAAATATTCCATATACATATATACATATACTTACTCTTTTTTTTTAAAAATCCTCACCTGTGGATATTTTTCCATTTATCTTCAGAGAGAGAGAGAGAGAGAGTGAGAGAGAGAGAGAGACATCGACGTGAGAGAGGTACACATATTGGTTGCCTCCCGCACGACCCCAACCAAGGCCAGGATGAACCACAACTGAGGTACATGCTCTTGACTAAAATCGAACCCGAGAATCTTTGGTCCACGGGCTGACGCTCTAACCATTTAGCGAAACTGGCCAGGGCTATATGTACTCTTTTTATTTATTTTTTAACAAGGGCAGCATACACTATATTTTTCTCTTTATTTAAAAAATGGTGATATACTATACACTATTGTAAATAAGGGTGCTCTCAATAACCTATCATCTTATGTGTGAGAATATATCAGTAAGACAAAATCCTGGAAGCAGACCTGCTGGGTTGAAGAATATGGGTATTAATTGTAAACTTATATTTTTACAGTGAGTTGCTTGATCTTTTCAAAACAGCTAGAACTTCTTTAAGCATGATAATTAATGCTGTATGTCTTTTAACATACCATCCTTTAATTATATATATTTTCAAAATTTTGTGACAAAGAAACCAATTCTTGGAAAAATAGTAATGATAAGTGAGGTAGTGCAATCAGTTACAAAGTACAGAGGAGACAGTTAAATAGTAAAGGAGATGGAATTTTACCTTAGGTAGTGACCAGCGCTGAGCACGGGAAGCTCCAGGAGGGACCAAGGCTCATTGGTGACCCTCAGGCTGAAGGGGTTCTGACTTGGTGAGCCGCATCTTTGCAGGGTCTCCTCTGGGCCTTCCGTGTGATCTCTGCCACGCTGCGTGAGACGGGAGGTCGGAGTGTGAAACGATCCACAGTAATGACGATAACTTTCATCCCTGCCTTTCCCTGTTCCCTGCATCAGAAATCCCTCCTCACCGCTGGATTTCTTCCCGACACATTAGCTTTGTGAAAAAGCTACGTTTTTTTGTTTGTTTGTTTTTTAATCATTGTTACTAAGTAACTTCAATCATTTCAAAACTCCTGTGTTTGTCAGCTGGGTCTCCATACCAGACACCATAGACTGTGGCTTAAACAACGGCCGTTGATTTCTCCCGGTCTGGAGGCTGGATGCCAGGATCAGGGTTCTGCTGGGGGTCTTCCCGGCCTGCGGAGGACTGACTTCTCCTGTGTCCTCACGTGGCAGCCAGGGGGAGAGCTCGCGGGCGTCTCTTCTACAGGAGCACTGAGCCCAACATGAGGGCACCATCCTCATGCCATCATTTAAACCTAATGACCTCTCAAAGGCCCGGTCTTCCAAATACCAGCGCACTAGACATTAGGGCTTCAGCACGTGGATTTCAGCGGGATGCAGTCCAGTCCACAGTAAACCTCACTTGCTCACTCCAACATTTTCTTACGAAAAAATTTAAATGTATAGAAAGAGTGAAGGGATACAGTGAACGCCTGGCCACCAAAATGTAACAGTTGTGAGCATTTTGATATATTTGTCTTATTACTTTACACACACACGTATTTGGAGAACCACCTGAAAGTAGTTTGCAGACATCACATGTATTGTCTCTGGCTATTTCAGCATATGTATCCTAAGGGTCAGGACATTACCCTACAAAACCACAATGCCATGATCACATCTCAAAGTTAATAATGCCCTGATGTCATCTGTGGTGGTTTTCAGGTCCATATGTTTTTTGTCCTTGGGATGTGGAATCTGATTCCCCTCCCTGTGTGTGTGGGCTGGACTAAGTGACTCACTTCCAGGGAATAGACTATGTCAGAAGTGATGGGATGTCACTTTTGAGGCTGGGTTATAAAAAGAACATGGCTTCTGTCTCAGATGTGCTCTTTTGATTTCTCTTGAGTCTTTGCTTTGATGGGAGCCAACTGCCATGTTTTGTAAGACAGCCTCTTGTAAGACCCATGTGCTCAGGAATTGAGGGCATCAGCTACCATGTGGGTGAGCATGGAGGTGAATTCTGAGTCTTGACATGACTGTTGCCCTGGTCAACAACTTGACCTTATGAGAAACCTTGAGTCAGAAACACCGAGCTAAGTCACGCCCACATTCCTGACCCTTAGGAACTGTCAGATGATAGACATTTGTTGTGTTACACCACTAAGTTTGGGGTAATTTGTTACTCAGCAATAAATAACCAATAATCATTTAATATTCCACATTCAGATTTAATCACTTGCTACAAAAATGTCTGTTATAGCTGTTTTATCCCCAAAATTATGATCCAGTCTAGGTTTACTCATGGTATTTGTTGATTATTTTTAGCTTTTTATAGTTAAAAAATTTTTTTTTTCTATATTGATTTTAGAGAGAGAGAGAGGGAGAGAGAGACAGAAACATCAATGAGAGAGAACATCGATTGGCTGCCTCCTGCATGAGCCCCACTGGGGATCGGGCATGTGTCCTGACCAGGAATTGAACCAGCAACCTCTTGGTTCATGGGTCAATGCTCAACCACTGAGTCACACCAGTTGGACATTTTTTTTTAAATAACATTGACTTTTTGGAGAGAAGTGGTCTGATTATATCTTCATGATGTTGTTTAACTTGTTTCTCTATATCATATACCCTTAAAGTTGTAGCTAGAGTCTGGATTGGATACAGATTAAACCTTTTTGGCATGAATATTTCAATGGTAAAGTTGTACACTTCATATTACATCACATTGGAGGCAATAATGTTAGAATGTTCCATTGTTGCTGACACTAAGTTTGATTGCCCATCTTTTTAGTGTAAAGGTATATATATTTTTTCTGCTTTTAGGTAAGATATCTGTGGGGTAATAATTGGTAGGTTATTTCTATTCCCTGTTAACTTTACTTAATGCTATTAGCATCCATCAGTTCTTTCCTGGATGAACTTACGTCAAGGATGGTGGCAAAGTGGTAATATTCAAATTTTACCATTCTACTTATTAGCTGGCATACTTCTTCTTTTAAAAAAAATTCTCACTCGAGGATATTTTTTCCATTTATCTTCAGATAGGGTGGGAGGGAGGGAGAGAGAGAGAGTGAGAGAGAGAGAGAGAAACACTGATATGAGAGAGACCCATCGACTGGTTGCCTCCCTCACGACCCTGACCTGGGCCAGGGACCAAACTGCAACTGAGGTACATGCCCTTGACCGGAATCAAACCCGAGACTTCTTGGTCCACAGGCTGATGCTCTAACTGCTGAGCCAAAAGCTATAGAGAAAGGTTTTTATTTTTTCCTTTGCTTTTCTTTTTAGTTCTATAGACACATGGATTTTTACATTTTTTACTGTGTTAAAATCAATTATTCTTTTTTTGGTGCTCAAAACCCATCAAATTTGGCCAGCAGTCCCTACCAAATGGTCTCCGTGACTCCTTTATAATATTTTGTTTGTTTTTAATCCTTACCCGAGGACATTTTTCAATATTTTGTTCAGATAGAGTGGGAGGGAGAGAGAGAGAGAGAGAGAGAGAGAGAGAGAGAAACACGACGTGAAAGGGACACATCGAGTGGCCAGAGACAAACTGCAACCGAGGTACGCGCCCCCAGAGGGAACCGAACCCGGGTCTCTCCGGACCGCAGGCCGGCGCTCTAACCGCTGAGCCACACCGGCCAGGGCTCTCCGTGACTCCTTTAGTCTTTCATCACTTCCTTCCGTTCTGACAGAAGATGCTGTCCTAGGCTCACTTACAACTTCAAACTACAGAACTAAAAGCAGCCTTCACCAAGGAGCTTTCTTCCTGTACTGGTGGATGGTGCTTGGAAACAAGATGTAGGCTTTGTGTGCTTGTTGCTGTGGTGTTATTGCTTTCAGTGCATGGAGCTAGAAATACATTGTTAGTAATACATCTATAGTGGTGTTTTTACTTATTTGTTTTTAAAAAATAAATTTATTGGGGTGACATTGGTAAAAAAAAATATACAGGTTTCAAGTACACAATTCTATGATACATCATCTGATGTCAAATCTTCTTCTGTTACCATATATTTTACCCCCTGAACCCTCAGCTAACTCTCCAGCCCCTTCCCTCTGGGAGCCACCACACTGTGGTCTGTGTCTATCATGCTAAGGGAAATAAGTCAGAAAAAGGCAAGAACCATTATGATTTCATGCATATGTGGGATATAAAACTGAAAGTAAAAATGAACAAACAAGAAAAATAAACAGCCTGTTTATAAACAGTGTGGCTCAGTGGATTGAACGTCGTCCTATGGACTGAGAGGTCCTGGTTCGATTCCCAGTCAGGGCACATGCCCAGGTTGTGGGCTGGATCCCCAGTAGGGGATGTGCAGGAGGCAGCTGATCAATGTTTCTTTCACATCGAAGTTTCTATCTCTCTCTAAAAATATCAATAAAAGCATATCTGAAAAAAAACAAAAACTCATGATATTTTTAATAAAAAGTAATATTCTAGAGTTTTCTTAATATATATTTTATTTTGTGTCTTTTGGACTTCAACAATATTTACTCATTTGCTTTGTCTTACAATATACATAAAATTATTTCAGAATTACATTTTTAATATTTTACCTATTAGGAATAGTAAACCTTTGGAGTGAAGTTTAGGCTCTCAGACTTTTTACATTAATACTGTTGGCATCCTGACCACTTTGGCTCAGCGGTTAGAGTGTTGGCCTGTGGACTGAAGGGTTGTGGGTTTGATTCCCGGTCAAGCGGTTAGAGTGTTGGCCTGTGGACTGAAGGGTTGTGGGTTTGATTCCCGGTCAAGCGGTTAGAGTGTTGGTCTGTGGACTGAAGGGTTGTGGGTTTGATTCCCGAACCTGGGTTGCAGGTTTGATCCCCGCCCCAGTTGGGGTCGTGTGGGAGGTAACCAATCCATGTGTTTCTTTCACATCAATGTTTCTCTCTCCCTCCATCCCTCCCTTCCTCTCTATCTAAAAATCAATGAAAAATATCCTTGGATGAGGATGAACAACAACAACAAAATACTATTGGCAATCATTTGTATGGTCACCATTTGTCAAGCACTTGCCATTAACACAGTCATTGTGCTAAATACTCAAAGAGGTTATGTACTTTGCTCAAGTTCACACAGCAATTAAGGACCAAAGCTGGGATTTGCACTCTGGTCATAAATCACTATGCTTTCAGCAATAGTCCTCTTTACTTGTATTTTCACAGCTACATTCTACCTACAAGTATGATGAAAAAACTTTGTTAGTGGAACAAGGAGTAGCCATGCCTATTTCCTCAGTGAGTGAATAGCTTTAATCAATTATAAATAGTAGTTATTGGATTATCAGGCTTAAAAACTAGGAATTTAATATTTACCTATAAAATGCATTTCTGAAGATTAACAGTAGGAAATGAAAATGTGTAATAAGAACACATAAAAAGAAAAAAACAGAACTTATTCCTTTCATACATAAGTGTCTTTACTTGTAAATGACTGATGCAATGTTGTTCAGACTTCGGAAACACATTCACTTTGGGGTGAAGTTCCTGCCAACGTAATAAAAATTGTAAAAAAAAATGTGGGCAATAAAAAATTTGTGGTCTTTAATAAAGTCCTCATTCATAGAATTATGACTCCGAAGATTTATTACTGAAAAATACTGTTGAGTGGTTTTCCCAACACATTAATGGTCTCAGGAAGAGTCGTCATAATGCTTTCTAAAGCTCTGTTTTTGAGGTAGGAAACTTCCTTTATTAGTGAAGTCCAGGGCTGCGAGGTCGAAGTATCCGCAGGGCTGGGTGCTGTTTCTACCACACTCAGCTGTTCTGATTTTCTTAATGACTCGATTCAAGTTACTTTATGAAACTTTCGCAAATAAAATTCCAGGTGGTTCATTATACATAGGGAAAAAGGTATTACTTAGAATCTTGAGCAGCTAATAATGAAGTGTGTTTTCAAAACCATCGAAGACTGGCACCTTTTCTCTTGGTTATTGTGAAATCATTCAGTGTTGAGAGAAGGAGTCACTGGACCCACACGGGCCACACAAATCAGTGGATCAGAAATTAAACTGACATATTGGATTTCATTTCCTCCACACTGTTCGCATTTTCTCTAACTCTCATAGCTGGAACTGGAGCTGGGGAAGAAGACTGGTTTTGGAGACAGGCAGGCTCCGAAAGGATGTCTCTTCTGCATCCTGGCTTGTCAGCAGCAGCAGCGTTATGTAAGAGGGAAGACGTAAGACAGTCACAAGGAGCAGAGTGGTAAACAGGCGTTGGGCTTTTGTTCCAGGCTCCAGAATCATTTGGCTCTGTGACCTCAGGCATCTAACTTTACCTCTTTGAACCTCAGTTTCTTGTCTGTCAAAAAAGAACATAATTTAAGGATCAATTTCTTGCAATTATTCCTAGGCTTGAATGATATCCATAAAGTCTTGAGGACATGCCCAGGACATGATTGGTGCTTAGCGTTTTATTTCCCTTTCCTATTTATCTACTTTTATCCAGGGAGTACAGGCCTATGGAAATAGTTCCTGGAAGTGAGAAATTATTAGACAAGATAAATTACTAAAGAAACTAAAGGTCTCTTTACAGTCCTAGAATCATAATGTTGGAAGTGACCTTAAGGCCATTTATTTATTTATTTAATATGGAGTGCTCTCCGAATGTGCGTGTCATCTTTGTGCACGGGCCATGCAAAACTTCTCTGTATTGTTCTAATTTTAGTGTATGTGCTACCGAAGCGAGCATGGAAGTAATTTTAAGGTCTTTTAGAATCCAGACCACCTACCTGTATGTGAAATAAGAATCATCTTTAAAATGTCCCTGTCTAGCTAGTGTCCGGCCTTTTCTTGAATTCCACCAGAGGCAGGGAACTTGCTTCTGGACAAGGAGGCTCTCCGTGCAATTCTAATTGTTCTTTTTTTTTTTTTTTTAAATCCTCACCTGAGGACATTTTTCCAATTTTTTGTTCAGATAGAGTGGGAGGGAGAGAGAGGAAGAGAGAGAGAGAAACATCGACGTGAAAGAGACACATCGAGTGGCTGCCACCCACACGACCCAACCAGGGCCCGGGACAAACTGCAACCAAGGTACATGCCCTTAGCGGGAACCAAACCCGGGTCCCTCCGGACCGCAGACCAATGCTCTAACCGCTGAGCCAAACCAGCTAGGGCCAATTCTAATTGTTCTTCATTGTAGCAAGTCAGGATCACAATCCTTTAATTTATGTCCACACCCTGGTTCTTTCTTAATGAAACATCACAGAATAAATGGGAATCCCTTCTCTTATGACCACCCTTCAAGTATTTGAAGACATTTATCATGGGTTTCTAAGTTTCTTCTTCTGGTGAAACAGCTCAGATCTTTCAAACTTTCCTTACTGGAACCTTCTTTATTTTATTTTATTTTATTTTATTTTATTTTATTTTATTTTATTTTATTTTATTTTATTTTATTTTATTTTCCTTTATTTTTCTTTATTGATTAGAGAGAGAGAGGAAAGGAGAGGGAGAGAAAGAGATAGAAACATTGATGAGAGAGAACACCGATTGGCCCCCTCCTCCATGTCCCACAACTGGGGATCAGGCCCACAACCTGGGCATATGTCCTGATCAGGAATTGAACCACTGACCTGGGTCGATGCTTAGCTACTGAGCCACACCGACCAGACTGCAACCTTCTTTTTTTTTTCAAATGTATCTTTATTTTTTAAAAAATTTATCTTTATTGTTGAATGTATTACAGATGTTCTTTATTTTTCCCCTATTGACTCCCTTCTCCCCACTCCTGCCCCCCTCCTGCCTTTCCCCACACTGTTTCCTGTATCCATTGGTTATGCATATATACATATAAGTTCTTTGGTTTATCTCTTCCCATCCCCCCCACGCCTTGTTCCCTTTAAGGTTTGTCAGTCTAACAACCAATTTGTACTTCCTAATCCCTTCACCATTTTCATCCATTCTCCCAACCCCACTCCTATCTGGCAACCAACAAAATATTCTCTGTATCTATGAGAATGCTTCTGTTCTGCCTATTCATTTTGTTTGTAGATTCAATTGTCAATAGATATGTATTTATTGCCATTTTGTTTGTTCATATTTTTTATCTTTTACTTCAAAAAACCCTTCAACATTTCATATAATAATGGTTTGGTGGTGATGAACTCCTTTAGCTTTTTCTTGTCTGGGAAAGTTTTTATATGGCCATCGATTCTAAATGACAGCTTTGCAGGATAGAGTAATCTTGGGTGTAGGTTCTTGGTTTTCATCACTCTGAATATTTCTTGCCACTCCCTTCTGGCCTGCAAAGTTTCTTTTGAGAAATCAGCTGACAGCCTTATGGGAGCTTTCTTGTAGGTAACTAATTGCTTTTCTCTTGCTGCTTTTAAGATTCTCTCTTTGTCTTGAATCTTTTGCATTTTGATGATGATGTGTCTTGGTGTGGGCCTCTTGGGGTTCATCTTATTTGGGGCTCTCTGTGCTTCCTGGACTTGTATGTCTGTTTCCTTCATCAAGTTAGGGAAATTTTCTGCCATTATTGTTTCAAATAGGTTTTCAATTTCTTTTTTTCTCTCTTCTCCTTCTGGCACCCCCAAGATGCGAATGTTGGCACGCTTGAATGTGTCCCAGAGGCTCCTTACACTATCTTCATTTTTTGGATTATTTTTTCTTTTTGCTGTTCTGATTGGGTGTTTTTTGCTTCCTTATATTCCAAATCGATGGTTTGCTTCTTGGCTTTACCTACTCTACTATTGAATCTGTGTAAATTATTCTTCATTTCAGTTAGTGCCTCCTTCATTTCTGACTGTGCATCCTTTATTTCTGATTGGTCCTTTTTTATGCTCTTGAGGCCCTCACTAAATTCACTGAGGTTTCCACTAAGTTCACTGAGCATCCTTATAAGCAGTATTTTGAACTCAGCATCTGTTAGGTTGCTTATCTCCATTTTGCTTAGTTCTTTTCCTGGAGTTTTGTTCTGTTCTTTCATTTGGGACCTGTTTCTATGTCTCCTCATTTTGGCTGCCTCCCTGTGTTTGTTTCTATGTATTACTTAACAAGAGGTAAGGGGCTATCTGAGACCAGATGCTGCTTGTTTGAAAGAATTTAGGAAAATCTCAAACACAAACTAAGACAGGCCAATTCTATGGTAAAGCAACTGGCAACAGCTTGAGTGGGTCTGCATGTTGGGTGGGGCGGGGCCTCAGGGAGTCACCAGGGCGGGGCTACCAGTGTGAGGCAGGTTGCTGGGGTCCCAGATATGGCTTCTGTCTGCTGCCCCAGGGAAGGGCTCACCAAAGGAACAAAGGCCTCTGACAGCACGTCTGTCCAGAAGAAAGCCCCTCTCCAGCCCTTATTCCAATGCCAAACAGTTCAGTTCTTCCCTGTATGTCTCTGGTGCATTGCAAGCTGCCTCCCACATGCTGGAGCCTGGAGGGTGCGAGTCTGAGTTAGTCCGTGAGTGGGCCCTTTAACAGGAACTGCCTGTGGCTCCAGCCGCCTCAGCCTCCCTGAGCCTCAGTTCCTGCTGGTTTTACAGTCAGAAGTGATGGGGATTCTCTTCCTGGCACTGGAACCCTGAGCGGGGCACCTGGTGTGGGACGGGGACCCCTCAGTCCTTAGGGAGGACCTTCCCAGCTGAGGTGTCCTCCTGATTTGTATCCGCCACACGTGGGTGTGGGACCAGCCTGTCCCCTCCGCCCCTCCTACCAGTCTGATTGTGGCTGCTGCTTTAATTCCGTAGTTGTAGGACTTCATTCAGCTGGATTTCAGGCGGTTCTGAGTGATGGTTGTTCAGTAGTTTAGTTGTAACTTTGATGTGGTTGTGGGAAGACGGTACCTTGTTTACCTACCCGCCGTCTTGACTGAAGTCTGCAACCTTCTTTCTTATCATCTATAAGGTTGGGAGAATTCTAGCCTCTGGGTAAAGAATTAAAATGAAAATAAACTCTAAAAGAATATCTGCTCATGTAATAGAAACTATAACTGCTGATAAGATTCCAAAGTAAAATTTCAATCCCTCTCTCCTCCACTTCTAGCTTCAGTCTTACACTCTTGTTTCGCTTCTGGTGATTACCATTAAGACTTTAAAGTAATACATTTCTGTTCCTGATTCAACAATCTGAGATAGTATCTTTAGATTTTTGCTATAAAATATAGGAGGAACTTAATGCCTCCTACTTTTTTCTCCCTTATTCCCTTTAAAAAAATATGTTATTTTGCTTCTGCTCTGTAATTATAATCAAGTCTTCAGTTCTTTGCCTTCAGATTCTGTCCACACATTTAAAATAAATAAAAACAACATGATTACATACATATTTTTGTTATGGGTTTCATCTTAGCATGTGCTGCTGAACCCATTCCATTTTGATGATGCCCCTCTTAGTGTCCAGCTGGGAACTGTCCATGGTCCTCCGGGCACAGTCTGACCAGCTCAGGGCAGAGTGCTGACTGAAGCAAAGCCCAGGGACACACTGGCCTCGTGGGCAGCTATGTTCTCTGTTAACTCGTGTGGAGATTGTCAGTAATGAGAATTTCAAACGTAAGCTGAAGGTTGGTGTTGTTTCTCAAGGTTGGTGTTCCCCTGGGACAGCTCAGATTTCTGGAGGTCTGTCTCATTTTGAGGGGAATGTTCCTCTGCAGCATGTACTCCATTAGATCGTGGGCCCATGCAGAACAAACCTCATTCTCCTTCTTGTCTTTGAATCAGGTGAAGACCTGTACAGGATAATGCCCCAGCTCTCTTACCGCTTCCTCTTAGAACATCATTTGAAGACTTTCACCATTCTCCTCCCTAGACCCCGAATGTACTCAAGTACAGCTTTTCTCAAACTAGCTGTGGGAAGGATTGGTTTTTCTTTATTTTCAATTCGTTGCTGACCCATACTTTTGTAAAAAGCAATGAAATGAATTCATGGAAAAAAATTATTTAAAAGGACACAAAAAGCCCTGGCTGGTTTTGCTCGGTGGTTAGAGCATCAGCCCACAGACCGAAGGGTTGTGGGTTTGATTCCCAGTCAAGGGCACATACCTGGGTTTCAGATTTGAACCCCAGCCCTGGTCGGGGTTGTGCAGGGGGCAACCAATCAATGTTTCCCTCAAACATTGATGTTTCTCTCTCTCTCTCTCTCTCTCTCTCTCTCTCCCTCTCCCTCTCCCTCTCCCTCTCTCCTTCCCATTCTATCTAAAAATCAATGGGAAAATACCCTCACAACAACAACAAGAAAAAGGACAGAAAAAGCACAGGTCTACATTTTAAGTATAGAAGCCACAGACATTTGGATAAATATAATCAGAATACACATGGGGAAAAGAATGACATGAACTGTGCAAATTCTTTGAACATGTGTGTGCAGGGTTAGTGCGGAGAACACTATTACACTGATCGCGTTTTGTTATTCAGCAGTTGTATCGTAACAAGAAGTTATCCCTGTATTCAAGTCCTGTGTGCTCACTTTGAGTGAAAGTCTTGTTGTGATAACGAGCCAGCTTCTTGCTTGCTAACTGTTGTCATCTTGTTTGGATTGATGGCAACGCTCCTTGCAGGGTCTAATGTGTGTGAAACTGTTTCTGTGTTTTGCTTTGAAAGCACTCACAGTAGAAAAACGAATCTCACAAAGGATCGTTGACACTAAAAGAGGTTTTAAAGCAATTTCAGTGAGCTCAAGATATTTATTTGTAACTGGTATCCAAAATAAAGCAAGTGTGTTTTCCAAATCCATCTTCAGTTATTCATCTGTAGATCGTTTTATC